AAAAAAAAAATTAAAAAGTTGCCTCAACAAAAGGGCACTTTGGGCACCCATCAGGAAAGGGGCGGGTGCTCAAGCCCCTCTAGCCCCCCCCTCTGCACGTGCCTGATTGGCATATAAAGTCTGGAGTTGATTCCAGTTGTTTAAGTTCGGCAGCTGTTGAGAATGAGAATTCATAACATAGAGGCACAAAGAGGCATCAGACCAAGTAAAGAAGGCTAAAGAAGGCTACCATAAGGCAGAAAAATACCAAACTGACCTATCAGAGAGACAGGAAGCTTCCGAAGTGGCCAAATCAACAATGCAGTAAAGAGGGTGATTACAGAATATTTTACTTGGAAAACCACTTCACAGCATCTAACCAAATCAACAGCAGTTCTGAGGCTTTTGGTGTATTTATTGTGAAAGTCTACAATTAAAGAGATGCAAACAACATGCCAAAATAGTCGCTGGAAAACATCTAGTTCTAAAAGAAATTCTTTGGACCACTGAACTTGGCCCAAAGTTGTACACAGTGATGGGAAAACAAGACTCGAATGGGCTCGTGATCCAAAACAGACCCCTTGAAAACACAGAGGTGGTGTGACAACATGGGCCTGTTTGACTGCCAACTGAACTGGGTCACTGATGTTTATTGACCAGAAGCAGGACATCTTCTTAAATGCATGGAGTTATACTTCCTGCTCAAGCCCAATGCCTCTTAATGCCAATAAAGAGAATACTCTTAAACATCATAGTCAGTCACCTGACCATGTCTTTCACCAAGTAAAGACAAAACTGAAGGTGGTATAGGTCTGGCAAAGCCTATAAAAGAAGGAAATTCAGAGTGTGATGAAGATTCTGTACTAAAGATGGAAGTGTACATTTCACATCTTTATTGTTCTGCTTTAAACCCACTGTGGTAATTAACAGAGACAAAGAGAAAAGAAAAGAAAAAAGGAGCATTTTAAGCTAAAGTAAGTGTAAAACACAAAAAGTGTTGTATATATTGGGATTTTTGCATAACTATCATAATGTAGCCTATTTAACTTTTTTTCATGTAACTTCCGGTTTCTTCCCTGAATGATTGCTGGTTTACAGTATTTCACAGAGTAAAGTAAAAACCAAACTGACACAGTGATTAAAGATATTTAGGTTTAAGATTTAGGGCTGTACATTTTTGTTGTTGTTGTTTTTTAGCGCTACAGATGAGGAGTCTCGTACCTACCTCGACATTGTCGCCTCAGTATTTCCATCTCTGTCATCTGCAAAAGAGGAACCTGTTTAAGACAGTATCACTGCACAGCTGAATCTCCATCTCCGCGTGAGTTTAATAAAGGCCTAAAGCACACGGTCTGAATCAACTCTTTAGACCCAGCTTACCGTCCATAGCAACATATGCGAAGTAATTTCCCTGTTTATTCAGCAAAGACTTTAATTATTAACAGTATGGACACCTGAGCATGTTGTCCTGCAGACCGGAAACGGTTAACTGGCTGACCAGTATCACCTGATGTAACCTTGAATAGTCTATTCATGCTGTGGAGAGCAGCGTTTTACTTACCTGCGTGGGGGGAAAAGAAGGAGATGTCGAGTGATGCCCCCCGGAGGACGGCCTGTAACAGCAGCATCTCCCAGCCTGACACTGGTCTCAGCTGTGTCCTTCATAAAAACTCCCAGCCTGTGCAGATTACTTCTTTTTTTTCTTACTTCTTTTTGGCCTAATTGGTAGCAAACAAAGCCTTTGTGTGACCATTGGTCTTTACCCAGAGGGCCTCACACCAATTATCCTGCTCAGTCACATGGCAGTGAAACCTCTTTTTCAGAGCACTGGGCCAGAGACTAGATGGAGCAGTGCAAGGAGAAACCAGCACAGACGGCTACTTGTTTGCAATTGTGTTGTAGTTTTTCTTTTTTATAATGATAATGGTTGAGTACTGGATTTTAAAATATATTCAACTTTTTTTTGCAGCACCTCTATTCTCGTCTTTGTTGAAAACCTGACCAGATCTGTCTGTCTCTACCTCCTCGGATTTGAGCACCAATGGCCCAGAGACCTGCAGTTTTCATTATGAGTTGAACAATGGCTAGTCACCACTTCTTCGCTCAGCACAGTAAATAATATCATTTCTTTTCAATGTAATCTTCCTGTGGGAATGTTAGCTAAACATTGTTGCAGACCAGTCTACCCCCAGAGAAGGATGGCAGCATCCTCTCACAGCAGGAATAATACAGTAAAGTCTGAATGAGTATCTCCAGAATTTGCTGTTCAGGCTCAGAGGTGTACGTGTCATAACATTTGCATTACCTCTACAAGTCACAATAGTGAAAAGAGACTGAAGTAAGCCAAGATTAGATAAATGAACGAAAAATATTAATCTCCTGTTCCACCACATCCCAAAGGAGATATATTGGATTGAGATCCAGTACAGAGAAATTACTGTCATGTTCAAAATGATCATAAAAAAATGAAAAAAGACACAAAATCACTGTGTTTATATTTTATTCACATATGTTACATTTTGCATTAAATGTCCCAAGTCACACTTTCTGGTCAAACTCAGAAAGTTTGAGTCAGCACCTACCCGGTACAGTAATGTACTGTATTCTCTCCCCATTCATACAGGAAAACACACAAAAGCTTTCAGTTACAATTTACACCCATCGTTGGCTATTTGGTTGCGGTCATTAACGAAGTGGGTACAACAAAAATAAGAGAGACAGGAAAAAACACAAAAAGCAGCATGCATGAATTCAAGAGGAAGTTTTTCAAGTGTCGACTTGTTCCTTAGAGATTCTGCGATGCAGCACAATGTGACCCAGCATTTCAAAACCAAACATCAGGGATATCAGCTGTGTGCTCATCACTGAAAGTAAGCATTAAAAAAAGGGGGTCCTATTATGCCTTTTCTCTTTTTCTGTCATTTACAAATAAACTGGGTCATTGATGTGCTGGATGCTGATAACAACTAATTCCTTTAAGCTGCTCAGTTCACAACAGTTTTCCCAACTCCTGTGCCAAACTGCAGTTTTGAACGTGAGATGAGGAGGCGGAGCTTGCAAGCACTAGGTTTTGGTTTTTGGGACGCCAGGCAAAGGGCAGCCAATCAGAAGAAAATGAGCTTTTAGGTTGACAGAGGTTTGAAGAGACATTTTAAAGAAGAAGAAGAAGAAGAAATGATAATAAATAAGGGGCTTTTTATGTTCTTGTGAACTGTGAAGAAGCAAAGTTTCTCTAATGAAGTCTCATTTAAAATCATGGAGCTCGAAATAAGCATAATAGGCCCCCTTAATCTTGCAGGCACGGCTGGATGAAACTTCTCTTCCAGGAAAAAAAAAAAAAAAGATGATAATCGCTAAGACACTTAAATAATGGTGGCTTAAAGGATGTCATGCACAGTGTACAACAGATACTCAAGTCTGATAGTCTTGCAATGTTGGAATGCAACTATAAACCACAACTACATGATGCATGATGTATAACAGATAGTTGTTAATAATAATAATAATAATAATAATAATAAATGTTCTGTACTGCAGTTTATGACCTGGCAATCAGAAGCGTAAAGGGAAAGCCTTTTTCTGATGGCACAGACAGACGAGTGACAAGTACTGCAGTCTCCTCACAGAAGCAACACAACTCCCACAGAGTTTCATACCTCGAGAGAACACTGACAGAACTCATGTAGCATTTTTGCTCTTGCATGACGCTCAGGACACCAGATGTGCAGTGAGATCTCTTTGCCTTCCCTCAATGTTTAGACTTATATGTTTATATGGGGGTGGTGATGATGAGGGTTAAGACAGCTGAGTGTCTTAAAGGTGGAGTTTTGAGTTAAACAGTGTGAAAAGGCCAACGCTATGAAAAGTGTAGTGGGTGTAACTTGGTGACCACACACCTCCTTAACCATTAAACTGAGTTTGAGTCAACATTCCCAGCCATCTACGGTAAACCCAAAACACAACCTTAGGAAAAAAACAAAAACAAATTCTTCAAAGTTAAAATTAATTACTTGAACAATGAGCAGCAGCATTTATTTAAATATCTAAAACGTATTTCAGCAAAAACAAAAAAAATTCCTGAGGATGGATTGCAACTAGACCCATAAAAGAAAGAGTCTTTGCTTGTTAGCAAAATAAACTCTAGTGTGTTGATGGGTGGACTTGTCCTGCCTCCTATCACATGTCAGCAGACAATGAGTGCACACTGCAGTAACATTGCTATACTTACCAGGAGCTTGAAACTCATGCCAGCACAGCAGAGCACATTTTGATAAATAATAGGGATATGCGTTTACATCAGAAATGGTGGTAAAGTAATCAAACTTTGCAGGGACAATCGGCAATTGATTTTTGTTTTGTTTTTTTAAACCAAATAAACTGGAGCGACTTTAAAAGCCTGACCCAAACCAATTCGGTTTGTGGGCAAATTTGTGCTTTTTTTTTTTATATCCCCCCCCCTTTTTCTTTTTTTACTTTTTTACTTTAATCTCACCAAATTCTGTTTTTCCCTGTAGAAAAACCACACAATAAATCACTTGAACACACACACGTGTTAAATCTTTAGGCATGACTGTACACCAAACTTCACATAAACCAAGGCTGTGGCAGAAATAGCCCTCGCTGGATGTTTGTGTTTATCACAGCAAGAGTTTCCAAATATTTTGATCAAGGCAGACACATAAGCCAGAAGGAAAAAAAATCCCTAAAAAAAACAAAACTAAAAAAAAAAATCTTCTCCATCATGGGATGTGGTTTTTCAGTGGACTTTGGAAGATCTTAGAGTCCATTATAATGAGGCCCCCAACGCTTGTTGATGTGATCAAAGGTGTGTGAAACCCACTGTTGCTCCAACACTCGATACCGCTCCTCACATAAGTAGAGAGGCTTGCCACGACTGGAAACATCCCAGAGGGGGGAAAACAGGAGTGAGGGGGGAAAAAAAGGGAACTACATTTAAATTCATACTAGAATCACACCAAGTGTTATAAGTGTACTTAAAGAGTTTCTCTAAAGACTCTATGCTATCTATTAACAAAAAAGTGTGACTGGGTGTTACGCGTCTTACCGTAAATCCCGATCTTCCTCTCCGTGTGCATCAAGGTAAACAGAGCCCCACAGACAGAAACGATGTCCACGGATGATGATGATGACTGAAGCATTTATCAGTAGAAAGATGCCTGTCGCAGCACCACAATGTTGGGAGTGCTACAAAGTGACAAGTGTGGGGGGAAAAAAAGGTTTGCTAAAAGCTGACGACTTCAACAAGCAGCTATGTCAATTCTGCATGCTGAGCCTCACAGAGAATGCTTTGAAGATGATAAAAATGGAACTATAATGGGAAAACTCACCAAAACGCATTCACAGATACCCTGCTGCTTGCAGCACACGCCTTTGAGACAGACGAAAGCGCCGCAAACAAGGCAGAGCGCGGGGTCTTTTGGCACCTTTTTGCAGGCAGAGCAGGCCTTTCTGTGATAGTACTGGAAGATGATATTGTAGTTGTCAGGCAGCTGCAGGAGACGGGGCGCTGCCCACTGAGGATCGTGGACCAGCAAGGTCTGAGGAGGAGAAGACAGACACCCAGCAATGAACTGATTTTATCTCCTTACTACACTTTGACCCAAAGGAGGAAGCCACAAGACACGTGAGAGGTACAACAAAGACTAGAACTAAACTTTAAATACAGGAATCAGATCTGGCACATTAAGTTAAATTAAAATCCAAGTATTTCTTATAGAATATGTGAGTATTTTTTGATTGTCATTTTAAGAAACCTTTACTTGCTTTGCTTGACTGCACGCTGTTAAAAATGAGAAGTTCATAAACATACCAGTGACTCGTCAGCATGTATCTGAGAGAGCCCTTTGACCTCAGCGCCCCACTGCGTCACCAAGTCAAAGGTGTTGACTGGCCACTCCAGACACGAGGCACTTTGCACGGTGTTGGCAGGCTGAGGGGCGGAGGGTAAAAGCCCTAAACATACAGCCAAGGATGCAAACTCCTCTTCCTCCTGTAAGAAGCCAAACCGCTTTGCCGTCAGTTAGTCTGAAAAGGCAGTTTTAACATTTAGGATGACATTTATGATGAATCATACCAAGCAGCCGGTTAGGTTGTCTCCATACAGGTGATGCTGCAAAAGGCAGGAGAGGCGCAGGAAGGGCAGGCAGAACTGCTGCAGGCTGAACTCGATAGACTGCGGGGACCACACACTGGAGCTCAGCTGGAGAGGGAAACAGCAGTAACACCTGATCAATAATCAGTCTACAGCTGGCTGATAATACAGTGATGTATATCTCCCCTAGAGAGATCAGTAGAGATATTAAACACAGTCTCCCACGGTAATGGGCAATTTATTGTTAAAGGGAAAACGAAAGAGGCAGAGAGGAGAAAGAGTGTAATCCTGAAGGCAGTCATGCTCTAAGCAGTCATTTTAGTGCCTCACCATTGTTGCTTCTTCAGAGTTCACCTTGTAGACACTCTTGTCCTTCGAGAGCTCACTGATAACATGACTGAGCAGTGCTTCAAAAGACTTATCAGAATTTGCAGCGCTCTGTGGAAGAAAATAAAAATGCAGACAAACATTAAAAAGGCCAAAACTCTCCGTTTAATCGGACACATAAACTTCTTGGAGGATCAACAGATATAAGCTTTGATCTACTGGTGACCATTAACACAAATCTTCCTGCTGTTTTGATATTATTATGTCTCTCTCCGTGTTCGCCGGTGTCTTGTCTCCACAAACTTAAACCTATAAGAAGGGGCTTAGACGTTAATATCTATTGTACCATTCAGTACAAAACATCTGAAAATGTTTGATGAATTCAAGGAAAAGCTAAAAACAGGTGTTGGATCTTTAAGAGTCTCCAGGAGCTGGCTTAAACTGTTTTCCACACAGTGAGTAAATCAGGCTGGGAAGTTGTCCTTTCTCATGTGAACCAAGGAAGAGTTGGTCGCTTGAATCAAACTCACTCTGATGACTGGAAATGCTCAATTAGATTTACACAAGAACTATAGTCACAGAGGCAAATCTGGACATCACAGAGAGGCTGTCAGGTTAAAGACTGTTTAATGACTGTATTGGAAACTTGTGTGATCATTTCTAAGAAAGTGAAGAGCTCAAATACGTTAAAAGAAAAAACAAAACAAACCAAAACCCCTCCATCCATCTGTTCTGCTTATCCAATTCAGGGTTATGCTGGGATTGGAGGCTATCCCAGCTATGATGGGACGAGAGGCATAGTACATCCTGAACATGTGTCCAATGTAACACAGAGACAGACCGTGCTCTCTGGTTTGCTACCAGACCACCGTGTTGGACATTTAAAAAACTGTTTTAAATTAGAAATGGCTACTATTAAACCAGCATATTTCTCAATATAAAAAAACAAAATCCCTCTATATAATTCTAGCAAATTCTCCACAGTCCTTCTGTTGTGCATACAATGTGCTGCACTATAGAATATAATGACTAACACAGAATAATTCTTTAATATAACATCTGATAAGCAGTAGAGACATTACCGAATGTGTGTTCTGATAAAAATTCAACCGGTTTGGCTCGTATGTTATACAGAGCAAAAGCTGCGAGCATTTATCAAGCTGAAGGTGGCGGAATATAAAACAGCCACCTTATCTCGTCTGCTGTCCTTTGTCATAGATTTATAGTGGAGGAATTTCAAGTCTACCGATTTCCTTCCTTAAGGCTGTGATATTTCTGCATCTTTTAAAAAAAGAGAAAAGAAATTCAATTTAATTACAATAGCGTAGATGCTGTTCTCGTTGTAGATTTAAAAATGGAAGCCCGTGAATGCCCTCGCTCCACTGCTCGTGACTGTGTAGGGGGAAGATACAAATCCATACTTCCATTATGGATGACAACACCCCAAAGAGGAGGGTTTCGGCTATTCGTCTTTTGACATTCAAACCAGCCACTCACTAACACAATGGTAATAGACTGAAGACAGATTGCCAATTAATGCAGCACTCTCCAGCAACACTGCTTTTCCAGATAATGAAGATTGATACTGTCGATTGTGGAATGCACATAATTGAAACTGCAGGGCCTAAAACAGCTGAACAGCGACTCACGCGCAATGATTTACAGTGCTGGAAGCTGGTGCTCGCAAACAATCAGGATTCTAGTCGTTCAACAAGTAGGAGATGTCATTTGGACCCAATGATAGTGTTAAGCCTCGGAAAACCACAAAACAGTGACAACAGTTTCAGCAGCACTTTAAGGTTTGCGAAGTCATTAGTGCTCGTCATTATCTATATGGTACGACCATCTATTTGTGGCCTAAAGTCTGACATAATGACTGCTGATTCACCGACTAGAGAGGAGGAGGCAAACTGCACGAGAGGCAAAGGAGAAAGGGGGAAAAAAAACCAAAGCAAATAAAGAAATTCAAGTAAAAGGCCAAAAATAAACACAATGCCATAGAATAAATATCAATACAAAATAAGAAATGGGCAGTGTACTGCATCACTAGCAGAAAGGTCACAAACTCAAGTAGTTCTGTCTCCCCCTGCAGCCACCACTCTGTGCGAAGGAGAGGGGGGAACAGAAAAGTACGACGACACTAATGCGATTTCATTTTTACCTTCTTGAGTGCTCCAGATGTGCTCCAGGCCTGCCTTTCCTCTGAGCTGAACTTTGTTGACAGTGCAGCCAGAGCCTGAGTGAACTGCAGGTTGTACAACATCTTCACCACGCAGGTAAAGTGCTCTACAAAAAAGAAAAAGAAAAAAGGACAAAAGGTGACACTGTGAGCATTGTGCCACTTTGAATTCATGAAGATCTTCTCTCGTCAAACACGCTCGCTGGAGGAGGACGGCTGTTATTCACAGGGGCATTGTGTTGCAAAGTAATTAGCAGAGTGTTTCAGCTGGAAAATGTAGCCTGAAAGGTATTTAACTTGGTGACTGAAAAGAGCAACAAAGAGTGCAATTTGTTTTCTGCAGAAAAAGGGGGTTGCTGACAGCTTCTGTCCTGGTCACTGTAACTAGTGTCACTACACACAATTATGCATAGAATTTTAAAAACTGGGCTTTTCCCATTATAGCAATCACATGCAGAGGACCTCTCGGAGACAGAAAATGTCTTGCTCCTTCCATTTCCCATAAAGGAATCCACCTGAAAATGCATGTGCATGTTAATTCACGAGCATCTCTCACCACTCTAAAATTAAAGTGTATATTCTCCATCTTCCAGAACACTGTAATAATCAGTATATATCTTCAGTTCCACATTTCCACTTATGAGCTAACCCTTCTGTTAAACCTGCCTTGTTCATGTTCGAAAACTCACTAATGATTCTTCCACTTAGGTCTCTAAGGTGGCTCTGCACAGTTTAGAAGTAAGATGGGGCAGATGCAGAAATGAAGGGCACCACAAAGGAGGTGAGAGCACCCCCATAGTCTGGGTCACGTCTTCCCGATCCCCCCCACACACAGCCAAAGCAGCAACAGCAACCGAGATAAGACATGCAAAATGCTTCTCATTTTCTCCTCAGCCTGGATTACGACTGATAATGGGGCTTCCCTTGTGGTGCATCCACTGAGAAAGCCCCTGCTGCCTTGTAGTGCCATGATGCAGAGAGAGTTACTGTACCTTTACGCAGAGGCTGGGGCATTGTTAACACAAAGATAATCAGGAGCGACGGGACGTCTCGAAACAGCATGGGTACCTCAGGCCTCTCTTCATCAAAGGAACTGCAAAAAAAAAAAAGCAAAAAAAAAAGCTTAAGTTTAACCTCAAGTCAAATATCTGGGAAACCCTGGAAAGCACATACTGGACAAAGCACAAGTATCCCTTCATCAAATTAAAAAGAAATATGCAAACGGCTTAGCTGTAGCAGTTCTGCATGCGTCTTTCAGACATATACAATAATAAAACCTGTCACTTCTTGTTGATTGACATTTGTGTATAGCTACCTGAATATACAGGACAGCTGGACTCTTTTTCAAACACTTTAAATGATAAAGCAGATGTCAGAATTGTTGGTTTTACAATTAGAAGTGGAGATGAGCTTGATTTGTGCTTACGGAGGTTTCTAAGCTTCGACAATGAAATAGATTTCAAGACCAACCTGTGGCAGAAATAGCATGCAAATTTTAGACCTTCTCTGCCTGTAAACATCCTGCCATATTTTAATAAAGTAATAAGGAACATCTCTGTGTAATGTCTATGTCTGACTTGCAAAAAGCCATCTATATAAGCAGGTAGATAAGGGAAGCAATGTTATTTATTGAATATGTGGAAAGGACTTTAAAAGGTATGAGAACAAAGGTCCTGCTGTGTAAATGTGCTGAATTAATACAAGGCTTGAAAAGGCGTTCCTTGTATCTTTAATGCAACCTTAGTTACATATTCAATTTGTGCGCCATGACATCTCCATTTAAATATCTTTTGTTCTGTTGACAATTTAGCGAGGTCCCCATCTCCGCTCTACCCTTGAAAGGCCTTGAGGGTTTTGCACTAGAGGAACTGCACTTAAAGAATAATACCTTCCATTACCAAACCACTCGCCAGTTAATTCCTTTGTGCACTTGAAGAAAGCCTTAGAAAAGAGAGCTTTCAACCTTCTGTCCCTTCGAACAAATTTTACTGGAATACTCTCGTTTCTATCATAAACAATAAGGTGAGAGAAATGTTTTGCGTCTATGTAGAAACATCTCTCTCTGCCCTATTTAACCAGACTATATCGGGTTTACTGCCTAAGGGTGTCAATGACACTGCTCCTCCCAAAACCCTAACAAAGTATTTTTAAACGGCAAATGGGTCCACTGAGAGTGCTGTATGGCTGCGAGCACTTAACAGTAACAGGTGTAAAAGCTGTCTTACAACACTAACAGGGAAGAAAGGTTGCAAAGACTTGTACTGTATTGTTTAATGTTTGAAAGCACTTAAATTAATTTCTTTTTTTACAGCATGCAAGAAAATTCATATTTTTAAGATGTTCAAATGTAAAGTAGTCCTCAAGGCAGAGAAAGACGTGCGCGAATGAGTGCAAAGCTAGGTGGAGAGCTGAAAGGCGAGGCGCGCTGCTCGTGTGATGGCGTTGTTTCTCAGTACAGTGAATTCGAAAGGGTCGTTTCGCTCTCTGTGGAGTGCCCGGTAATTTGCTAGATGTACCAATTATTGGTATCTATGGAAACCAAGCATGGTCCCTTTTCTGTTTTTAGCACCTCTTTGTGTGGAGGAAAAGCGGCTGGGGGCAGGAGGAAATGGTGGTGTTTAGAGAGAGGACAAAGTGGCACTCTGATTGCATGTTTATGTCGATGGGTGGGGGCAGAGCTGTGCGAGAACCAGTAAAGCCTAGAAGGTATGAGCAACATATGAAAAGATTTATAGATTTCCCATTAGCAGAGGTACTTAAGGCTTTACGCCACTCACTCTGCCTCTTTAATTTGTACAATCTGAGTCAACTTCGTCCAGGGGTTGTAGGCTGAATCGATGCTGTACAGACGCATGTGCATGGCCAACACGTGAAACAGCTGATCTGAAAGAGGCAAAGACAAAACACACCATTATTATGAGGTTCATCTCTGTGTCTATTGTCATGGCAGCGTTTAACGTAGATCAAACGATGAAAGCACTTGACTCGGGCTGACTGTAGGCTAATGCTCGGCTCAGATAAAACCAGGCCAGGCCAGATGGACTCACTCTATTTCGATAGCCTTGAGCAAACTCTTCAGTCGGGCTGCACCTGTTCGATGTGAAACTAATGGAACATGAAGACAGACCTCCTGTGCACACAGTTTTGCATGTTTATACGCATGCTTTAATAGCAGGACACCTCAGAGCCTCAACTGTCTTTGTCTGGACTCCTTTCGAGTGCCAAAATGTATGCCGAGACACAAAAAGCAGGGAAATGTCCGACTATGTAGAATTTAGTTATAATGTTTCAAAGTGGAGTACTGGCACAAATTAATCAGGCTTTCTTAAATCTAACTTCAACCTCAAAATTAAATGATGCTAGTTCCAATAAACCACCAAGTTTTATATAGTCTGACTGTGAGGTACAGACATATATGCAACATATTTCTGTTTAACATTTCTAATGACCAACATGAATCTTGTTGGATTCTGGCTGACAATGAATTATCACGCTGTAATGCAGCAAAGTGCTTCAAATAATCACCACTGCAAATTTGACTTTTGTGCGTGCCACCTATACTTGGAGCAACACTGCCCCCCACAGGTAAAAAACAGGCACAGCATAAAAAAGTCTTTCAGTCCTCAATTGAAAACCATTTGTCTTCACTAGAACCCATTTCCTCTCATCCCTCACCACCACTCACCTCTTACCAGGAATTAACCCGGCAGAGGAAAGAAATGGAGGAGAGATGTCCCTAATGACGATTGTTGTTTCTTATGCTAGATCACAGAAATTAAAATCCCATATACTAATGTAATTAAAACTGCGGTGCTCCATCAGTTAATTGCTGTACTCTTTAAGTCTTCTTGTCTCTCAATCCTAACCCTTTATTCAATCTGATCAACCCTACTCCCCACCTTCATTTTGATTTCCCCCGTTTTCCGTGAATGATAATTAGTACTGACTTTTGGCTTTAAAGCCAGAGTACCCAGAGAGAACCGGGATGCTGAAATGGATAAGCAGTTAAGGAGATGGGCAGACGGATGGACAGTCGGTAAACCCTTAAAACCAAAGCCGGAAACCAAAGCAGCTAAAATCCAGTCAGACATGAGATTTATTAAACCATAACCACGTTTTGAAAAAGATCTTTAAAACCGTCAGCAGAGACTTTCACTGAGGGAATACTGCTGCATACTCACATCTCACTGCACAGTGGTCTTCATGAAAAAAAAAAAAAAAAAAAAAAAAAAATCACATCAGCCACACACAATCAAAGAACACAAATATCACCGCTGACACTCACCATGTACTAGAAGACCAACAACTGAGGTCAGCACGAGTCGCCTTTAATGTCGCTGCACAGTAGGAGCCATGTAGTCCCCAAGATTAATTCAAATGTTTGCAGTTTAATAAACCCAGAACTGATGCCACTTTCAAGCCTGGACTTTGCAGATTTGATTTAGCTCATCTCAGGGGAATTGAAGAGCTCTTGCTTCTGTGGTCAATCGTATCCTCGTCATTTGAAAAGACCAAACCCCTACTGGGAAACAAGCTTAGGAAAAACCCCCATGGGCTCTCACAGTTAGCAGACGTCGGCTGTTTTCCCTTTAAATCCATTTCCCTAAGAAGAATGAGTGCTAATGTACTGCAACTGAGTAAATTTGGCTGTCAGCATGGCTACATGGTTAATGTAGCTCAAAAATGGCAAACCTCTGGTGTGAAATCTCTTTTCAGCCACTCGGGGATGACAGGCCATTTCACTGCAGCCGCCGCAACTTTGACAGAACAATTAAACAAATGGAGAATGGCGTGTAGGCTACACGACAACCTTAACTCTCTCCAGACTCACCATTCACACTTCCTATTGCAATAATCCATCCTTTATTCGTTTTTATTTTACAACTGATTACATCTGAGATTAATTTATCTTCTAAGAACTGATAATTCAATGCAATGTTCTGCTTTTCCTTTGAGATTCAGCTAAGATCACAGTTTTCCTCCTGCCCTAGACAGATGCCCTTGTCAGTTGTGACACAATCAACCAAGTCAGCACTTGACCCATTTGTCAGCTTCATTTACCCCGACTGCTGCAACTGCTCACCTGGGACACCATCTATCCTTTCCTGCCATTTCTAATCGACCCTTTGTTGTTGGGTTGTTTTTTTTTCCCCCCTCAGCAATAGAAGTCAAATCCAAGAATGGGTTTGACTGCAAGTCAGACAATTTATTACATACCAGCTGATGGAGAACAGGATACATCCACCTGTAGTAACACATGTCACTCTAAAACACATTTCAGAATCTGTTATTGCGCCACCAAAGATTTACATTTTATTCTTTTCCTGCACCAACTTTGTCTTACACTGTACACACGACATATGAGACAATTTTCCAAAAACTACATTAAACTCATCAACTGATTTTCGTTAGAGGGGGTTTAAAAGAAAAAAAAAAAAAGCAAAATGTGTAAAAATAACTGCATTCCTAAACAGTTAATACAACACTTTTCTGAAACTCATTAAGTTAAAGGATTTCTAGTCTGCTTCAACAACTGTTTGATATGATATTGTAGTTTGTATCATGGTTTCTGTGTCAGTTTTAGAAATAAAAGTATACGTGATCATTACTGGGGAAAATGAACTGTTAACATAGACATATAGGCTAAATCTGATAATAAAAACGTGATGAAGCATTAAACTACACAAAAAACATTATGTATACTGTTCCTTGGAATACAGCCATTATCGTTTGTTGTATTGGCCTTGGTTCACCCAGGAGTAGTCTGCTTTCAGTGATAGGGGGTTTTTGCTATCCAGTGTGTGTAATAAAAAAAATCCCCTTACCTGAGAACTTTTGGTTAGACTGTGGTTTTAACTTTCATGTCATGCTTTAGAGGAGATTCAACCAGCCTGGGGACCATTTTTGAACATTTTTGGAGCCTCAGATCTAACAGAAATACTTGTTTGTTGTGACCCATGTCATTTTTGCTTCATTCTATCCTTTTAATTGATTTGTTTTTGAACTTTTTTGATGTTGTGGCCCTTTTTTTCTGAGAAAACATTTTGTTATAAACACACGTCTTGCTGTATGTTTGACAGGAGACACAGATTGTTAATATTAAAATAAATGGAGATTATTTTTTTTGAATTGTTCATTTGAATTTCGTTAAATTGTAATTCTTTTAACATTTAAAAGAGGCAGTAGTATCAAGCCACAAGTGTCACACATGGTATGGAATATAGGATCCAATACAATGAGTCGAAAATTAATAAAAATATAAAAATAAGAGCAAGTGAGGGAGAAGCTACTCACTGAGACATGAGCGTTTGGCAGCTGCACTGGCTCCTCCAGAACACAAGTTTCCTCCTCGATGCACAAGTTCCAACTCCAGGTTTGTCCTGAGGTGACAGAGACATGAGCATTAGCAGACAGGAGGTACACATATTAGACAATTCAGCTGGTACACACGTGAAACACACTAGACATGCACAAAAATACATATACATCTCCCTTGCACATATTCAGGTGAAAGTCTAAGATTCAAAATCTCCTTTTAAACAGAGACTGAACCAAGTTGGCAGCAGACATAAAGGTACTATACTGTGTACATATACCAGAGCTAAAGCAGATTTCTTCAGTGTTAAGACTCAATTAAACATTATAAAAAGCACCATTTACAAGTTTTCATCAATACGATAGAAGAGATTTCCAGGCTCGTCTACACAGCTGGCTCTGTTCTTCGAGCAGCAGCATCAACAGCATCATAGCTTACATGGATCATCCATTTAAGAATATTTTACTTTTGACCTAGCAAACTTATTTCATGTAAAATGCATGTTTATTAATAGGTGTTAATACTGCCCAATTGTATAAACTGAGACATTTGCCACTTAAGAAGAAAAAAAAAAAAGCCAACTTCCTTACAGGACAACAGCAGAGAGCACGGATGTCTGTGAGGGAAGGAGTGTGTGTGTATTGGCATAAATGGCTGAGGATCAACATATTCAGCTTTTGGTTACATGGCCTGGCTCTTTTACCAATTTGATTAGGAAGATGAAGGATGCTGCCTAGTCACGCCATTTGCTATTTAATGCGCCTGTTTTGCAGCAGCAATTCCATATCAAATAAGTGACAGCTTTCCAAGACTGATTTTGCACAAGCTAAACCATTAGCATAAAAGCCTTTCCGAATACAGTTCGTGCATAATCCCCAATACGGATTTCTCATGCATATCGACACATTTTTCCTTCTGAATTTTAATTCATGCTATTTCACACAGAGAACTAGAACACTGAAAAAAATAGGTAAAAAGTACATTGATGGTAAAAACAGATAGGCATCGCTAAAATAAGACTGATCTGGGCCCGTTTTCAGCCTATCACTGGCCATTTCTTCCTGTGGGCCAATGAGGAGGGGGGCAAATCCTCGGGTTTCCTGGGAGAAAAAGCAATTTCACTTAGATAATGCAGCCACGGTGAAGCTCCATCTGGCTTTTGCTGATAAGAGCACCCCTGTGACAGAGGAATTTTCCACTCCTCAGGCAATTTGCGCTGTTCATTGAACTTCAGAGAGCCAACAGGCACCCAGACACACTCAAGGGATCATTCCGTTCAGGGCGGAGGGCTGAGGGAACCACAGCATTGGGTGGGCAAAAGGCCTCGGTGGTTATGCTTCAAAAAGGGCAAAGTTTTTGGAATGGGAGTGGGGTGGAGTCAGAGACCCCAAGGTGAACTGGAGGGCAGTCATTTCTCTTACCTGTGACCAGTCTGCTGAGAACATACAAAAACCCAGAGAAAGGACTGTGTAATTTTGACTTTTCAGCCATTCCAGTATATTTTGTGGCTAACGATTGATGCAATTAATACTGCACACTGCTAGTTAATCCCAAGACAAGCAGAAAAGAGATGTGATTTGGCGAGCTTGCCATAACTTGGTGAGAAGAAACACCTGAAAGATGCATTCAGAGTGTGTAATCCTCAATCAGACATAATCAGTAGGAAGGGAGTAAGAGTGAGTATTATTTTACTGCAGACTATCGTGACAAAGCTGCTTATACTGGTTTGGAAAACACTTTTAAGACCAACAATGAGAAGCACAAAGAGAAACAACTCAAGAAACTATGCATTTCGGTCCAGAATTTTTGCTGTACAACTTATAAACTCCAGTACTGAATTTCAGTATCAGTTATTCAGAAGCCTTTCAGGAGTAAAAAACTAGAGAAGACTTTGTTCACACTAAAGAGAGGATTCTACTGTCTGTTTGCATGAAGGATCATTGCTATTCAAGTTGAAGATCTGACATTAACCGACAAAAGAAAGAGCAGAAAGGTATCTAAAGCGCTGCAGCCAACAGTCAGCGGTGTGTTCAAGTGTGTAAAACTGTGTGAGGTTGTGGAGAAAGAGGAGCTCCATGAAGGAATGCAGTGAATCAAAAAGAATCCATAAAGGCTAGAAGGACACCAAATATACCTTTTATTAAAAAAAAAAAAATGTATTCAGGGTGCCAAGTATTCCTCTATACAGGGAAAAACTGCTCAGCGATTGAAGGACTGAGTTCTCACAAAGCTCCTTATCCTCAAGTTCAATCTGCCATAAGGTAAAAGGTCTGTTTGATGTAGACAAAATGGTTCAGAAGAATTCTGTTTATTAATGTCACTCTCATGCAGCATCCTTTAAGACTGGAAAGCAGGTTAAAGAGACTACTAGTTCACAATCAACAGAAGTTAAGCTAATGCTTCTGATCTGAATGAAAGTGGGCTGTATCATTTTCCACAAGAAAGCAACTAGTTTAACAGATTATCATCTTATCCCTTCCACAGCTCCAAGCCCCTATTTCCCCTAATTTCTGAATTTATTAATCACATTTGACCTTTCCCTGTATTTTTGCTCGGAATGTTTCCAAAAATGGAGGTTTTTCCAATGCACAGTCACATAGGAGTTATTAATGTTAAAATCCTGGAAAATAAGTAGTGTTAAATTTTAAATCCCACTATAACTTGGTTCTTACCTTGCCACTGAATACATGAAGAGGAAATCATTGTCAGGGGAGCCAGGGTTCCTGCCATAGTCCATGTACTTCTTCTGGGTGGTGTTCTTGATGTCTTTGATTACTAACTCCATCTCTTTACTCAAATTAGACTCCGTCTGGAGATTAAGACCAAAAACAACAATAAATTAAGTCAAAGTACCGATTAACCTAAGGCAGTGGTTACAAACTCATTTTGCATCATGGGCCACATACAGCCCACTTTGATCTCAAGTGGGCTGGACTAGTGAAACTACATGATAAATGGGACAAATGCATTGCAAAGATTCAAAGAAAATGTCCATTTGCTTGTATTTAATTATTTATTTTTTTGGTAATAACAAATTGGGCAGATATTTCAAGTCTATTTGTGGTAATCTGAAAGCTGAAAATGTCAGGTGCACAGGTCACGTGCAAACAAAAAGTTGAAAAAGACCATAAAACACTGGCATTTTAGAAATTTTTAGAGTTGGCATCAATCTAGCTTAAGCAAAAAAAAAAAAAGAAAAGAAAAGGAGAGAACAGTCTCTATGAAAAAGAACCGCCCTGTTTCAATCTCCATCAACGCTACAAACTAAAGTACTGTTTTCAGTCATTAATATCACTGCCAATGTGGCCACTAGCTAAATGCAGAGTACAGATTTAAAGACATGCTGTCTGGGTTAATCATCAAACTTACTGGGAACAGGCCAGGTTTCTCCTGAAGTTCTTCCACCTCTTTTACGAGCACAGACGTCTTCTTGTTTGTGGGTGTGTGCCAGGTACCGGCTTCAGTGCCCCTCCCAGGGCGACAGGGGAGGACACTATTGGCAAACTGTCGACACAGCGGGCATGTAAACTCGCCCTTGTCAACAGAGAAACCCTGGAGGACCTGGTCATTCTGGGAGTGGAGAAAAAAAACAAAACAAAAAAATCATCAAATGTGACCTACAGTATAGAATCTAAACTCAATAGTTAAGAGCATTTTCAGCTGAAAGGTCTAAACATATAAGGCTCTAGCTCCAAACATCATCATATAATTTTAATTTCCAATTAAACATTAAAAAAAAAAAAATCTGACAAATAGGAAACAGAGACTCTTGATATTTAAACATGAGTAATGGTCTGAATGATTAACCAACTGACATAGTTGACCAATAAAGCAATAAAGCAAACAATTATTCCATGAGGTCAGGCTTATCCTCACCCTCAGAGACTCCATGTAAGACTTATGGCAATCTATATGCAAAGTGTGTCCACAGGTCTGGACATAGACGCCACCATCCCAACCTATTGACACTGACTGCAGACAGGAACTCTGCAGAAATCATAAGAGAAAAAAAACATCCATTAGAGTATGCAAATACATCTTCAGGCTCCTGTCTTTCAGGAAAATGTATTTTATTGTATGGTGCTGAGAAGTTTAACAAACTAAATAAAACAAATGTTTTATTCGTGTTACTTATGACGCAAATGGTCATCTTTGCATTTATTATATTCAATACTCAGAGTGATCACTGTTTAGAGAATAACACACATAATGTCACAGAGGCCTATAAATAACATTTTAGACAAATTTAAGCTTACAGCTTCAACACCTAAGAACAGGTGTAGATTCTCTCTTTAGTGACATACATTTAAAATAGATCTCAGTAAGAGGCTATTTTAAGATTCAAGATAAATCCATATCGACAATAGTGATCTGTGACTTTTTTAATCTTTTGTGTATAGGCATCAGTATTTTCTGTGAATCACGTACATCTTTGAAGAACTGTTGCATGAGTGTGAGCCTGACATCATTAGCCGCGCCGCACGTGTCTGCTGGGTAAACGTGTTCCTCGTCGCTCGTCGGCAGATTTTTAGGCTCCGTGCTTTTGCAGCGGTGCCCGAGCACTGCAACACAGAAACAACCGTCAGCCCCAATGATTTTAAGTTAATATGATGAACATTTCATGAATAAGACATGGCATGTGGGATGAGATGTTCCAGTGAGAAAAGTTGCACTCTGTGGCAGTGGGCAGACATTATCCAGGCTGCTAACTAGGATTATTCACAATAATTTGTCAATTATTTTTCAAACCAATAAATTATTATTTAGACTTTTACACTTAAGACTTAGATTTCTAAAAATATATTAAAATTAAGCAGAAATACAGATTTTTTTTTTCAACTTAAAGTTTGATGGTGTCCAGTCACTGAAGACAGTAATGATATAGGTGATCCACTGATGGTCACTGACAGCAAATTTTGTTTTAAGGTCAGAAGCTTCATGTTGGAAGATGAAATTGCTGGCAAATGAATTACCTGAAGAGGCTTGGAGGAGAACTACTAGGCCAGTGGGTCGGTCCTCAGTGGAAGGTCCACTCTGGCCACAGATGACGCAGTCATAAAGGATCTCGGACTCCATCACTTCAGATGCTCCTAAGTCCATGGCTGCTTCAGTGTCAGGGGATTCTGCCACAATAAAGACAAAAAGACAAACATTTCATGCAAAATTTTATGTAACAGTGTTGAAAAAAGTATATTGATTAAAAAATATATATAAATACACAAATTGAAACGAACAATGACTAAAAGCTATAAAATGAAATTCTGGGAACATTCAGAATATAAAAAAACACTTGGAGGTAAGGTATTCCTGAAAGGTTTCTCTTTGCATAGACCAGAAATCAAATCAACAGTTTAATAGTTTAATAAAGCGAGGTCACCGCAAGCCACTCAGGTAGAAAGAAAACTCTATTAAGCAACACTACTCTTCCAGTAGAGTAAAACATTTCATTTCACTTCCTACTACTGGAATGTAAAACAACAAGAGCTCAGAAAGGAAACAGGGTGATAAAATTTGTACACTGGGCTCCAAAAAAAATATCAAACCACATTTAAAAATACTGGTAACCATTGATGCTACCCCTCAGCCTCCTAGTAGATATACCTATTGTACTGATTTCAAAATCCTATGTCATCTTGTTCTCAACCATATTCACAAGATTTTCAGAAAACTTACTCTGACCTTGAGGCCTGCTCACTGAGATTTGAACTATGTTGCCTCCTTCTCGAGCTATCACATACACAAACTTAGGTGTCCACGCCGTCCACTTGTCCATCGGAGCGACGACAATACTCCATCAGCCTTTTATGGCTGAAGTGTAAAAACTTTATTCCTATCCAAATAAACTATCACAGTAAAAAAAATATAAACGAAAAAAAGTATGCTGGTTTTAAATAATTTAAAAAAAGAAGACATGTTTGACCATGTCAGTGCCTTTGTCAAGGGTCAGTTGGTTGTATCCCTTCCACAGATCCAAAGCGTGATCTATCAGGGCAAACTTCACAAGATAAAGTAGTACCACTATCTAGTAGTGTCTCTAAACCTCATTTTGTAAGGGAAAACAAGGCCAAATGCTTTGAGTGGCCTGGACAATTTGACTACACCCTCCAGAGGAGAAGTACCTCTTGATTTTTTAAGAGGCCTGACATACCTTCTGGTTTTCATCTCTGTGGAAAAGGGTTCACACTACAGCAGGATAATGAACTCAAACACATAAAGGCTTCACAAAAACTACTTGAAAACCAAAGAAGACCGAGAAGTGCTGCTGACTATCACAGACTATCCTTCACAATCTCCCACCTCAGTCTCATTGAACATTTATTTGACACTCAAAGACAAAAAGGTCTGACATACAAAGAAGCTTTCTGGAGTATTATCAGATGACACTGGGATGGCATGCTAGTTTGTGAGTGCTGGAAGGAAAGCAAAAAGTGAAACGCATGATCTCACTCTCATTCTGATGTTACTTGTAATGGAAACATCTGTACTGATTTCAATAAAAGCATGTCCCCCAGTGCCCTTCCTGCATACACAGTGGGGTTTTAAAAATACTGGGAACTAAAATGGGATTTGTTTTCTACTACTCCTCACATGTCAGTCTGGCACAGTGCTAGAAATTACTTACTGATGTGAAATTCATTTTAAATGTTAAAAACTGTGTTCAATTTGAGCAATAAACATCGCGGAAATGTCGAGCTGTGTTACAAATTGATTTATTGCTTTTTGGGAAAACATGGAGAGGTCACCGTGTTCCTGAGGAAATGAAAGTTGTTTGCATTAGATGTCAGTGCTACAGTTGTACCCTCAGGCCATCTGAGTACATAGAGCCATAAACGTACGTGCATGTGTACACACAGACACACACAAAAAGCAAGACAGCTAGCACACCAGCAACAGCATGAATTTGTGGCACCCTCCTAAAAATATTGCATGTTAAGGTTGGCGCCTAGTTCTTAGAAAAGGTTAGACTCAAACTATAAAAAAGACCCCAAATCAAAAACCATGACAGCTAAACCACTGCAACATCCATCCATCCATCCATTTCCTGTCCTTATCCAATTTAGGGTTGCGGAAGGGGGGGCAGGAGTCTACCCCAGCTGGCATAGGGCGAGAGGCAGGGTACACCTCGGATAGGTCGCCAGTCTATCACCGGGCCAACTCATAAGCAACCATCAGATTCAAAACTATGGCCAACTCATATCCTCCAATTAACTTCATGCCAGGTATGTCTTTGAACTGGGAGAGGAAGCAGGACAACATGGAGAGAACCAGACACTTAAAACCCCATGACCATCTTGCTGTGAGGCAATGGTGCTAACCGCCCCATCACTGTGCTGCCGTCCTACTGCAACATATTACTAAAAAAGATCCTAGTTAACAAACTATCTTAATAACATCTACGTAGAATTGCATCCATTTGGCTTAATTAAAGATGCCATCTTTGATACTTCTGCTTCCAGCAATAGAGAAGAGGAAACAGGAATTTGATGTGTGGTGAATTAAAACGTAACATTTAAAATTTCAGCTGCAAGATCTTTTTCCCAAAAAAACAGCAGTAAGTTGACTCTGAATGATCCAGAGTATTTCTGGTACAGATACAGCATTTCACAGACGGATCTGTTTAACAGAGTAAGGCGGAGACTGAATAAACAATAATCATAATAATAATAATTTTTCTTTGTGCCGATATTGTCACCAACATAATGGAAATACTCATGTTATGTTGTGAAAATCCAGCACTGAGACTGCAGCTGGTGTTCTGGCTCTGCAGCGAGTGCTTAGAAAGACATCAGAACAGTCCTTCTGAACACACCGGCCATTATTCATTTGCTAACCATGCTGTGTCAGAGGGGGGCCCTGGGAGTCCAGTCTACCATTAGTGCTTTGATCTTATGTGCCCTCACAGCCAGCAGCCACCCACACTCCCACAGGATCACCCTACTCGCAATTTCTCCTGAAAGGCCTGCAGAGACCGTACGCATGGGCTCAGCCCACTGTCACCTTGCCCCAGTGAAAAACATACAGCAATGATGAGTTTATTTTAGCTAACAGCGCTTCAAGGGCTACACTGGCAAAATGTCCTTGAAACAGAAAGTGGTAATATGTGTTTTATGATTTTTAAAAGGTCTTTCCCTCCTGCAGTACTGCACAAAAATATAAGACATTAAGGGTAAAATAAGGACGTTTAAAAAAAAAAAAAAAGCAATGAATCGTTTTCTTATTTACTAATAACTTCTGACAAAGTACAGCAGCAAATACTAATCAATACTTCACATTTTTCACAGTTTAAGAACTTGGAGATGAAGGTTGATCCAAGCGCCGTGGAAAACTTGCTACAGCTTATCTATGGATTTATTCTGTCTTTACTGCTTTTAATTCTAGATTGACTAACTTAGATCCTTAATATCTAATTCATCAATTCTATTGATTATTAATTTAGAACCAATTAATAGTACAGTATTATTTACACTGTAGTTTGTGGTGTGTTTTTAGGTGACTAAGTAATTGTGCTATTTTGCGATGCAGAAACACATCACCCTTTGCATATAATTGTATATCTGCCATTTAACTTGGTGTTACTTGTCCAGAATAACTCATAAAACTTCAAGCTGCAGGGAACAGCTGTGATTGGGTTATGCCACCATGTGGTGAGAAATATATGACTGTGATACTGTGATATGATATTGCACATGTTTGCATTGTTTTTTTGCAGTTTTCATTTCATAACTGTCAAACGCCTGCGAGCAATGATCATGAAGCTGGCGCTACTGCTGCTGCTTTTCTGCAAACAGACTTTAGCTACATATCATATTTAAGATTTTTAAGCTCAGAAACTCTGAAATATACATAACAAGCTGGCAAAAAAGAAGATCAGTCAGCCTTTTCTTACCGACATCCATGGCTGTTTCCATGAAACTCTTCTGCCTGGAGGCAAATTCAGCAAGCAGTTTCTGCTGTCTCTCTCTAGCCCTTTGACGCCTGAAAGAAAGAAAAACAGACATGTTTTGGTAGATATGAAGTAGTTTGTTTGATAGGTCACTGAGATCATAACCAAATAAATGCCATGTGTCTATATTTCCATATAATCTAATCAACTACTGAAAGAATTTGCTTTAATTCCCCCGATCAGATTGTTTTGAGGGAGATACGATCAGTCCTGTGATAAATGATTGTCCCTCATTTACAGAAACAGCAATTTCTGATGGAAAGTGTTGCATAATATGGTGATTTTTTTCTTCCTTTTAAGAGGATTTATTATTAGCGTTCCCCTTCGAATAAGTGATCCCTCAGTATTCTGGGGAAAAGCATGCCTATTGTGCAGAGCTTGCTTGATCACCCATAGCATGTGCATGTAACAGGGGCTATTTTCACACACACAGGATGTTTCTGATTTCAACAAGGCTGCGTTTTAAAATTTGGAAAAGCTGATTATTAAGCTAATCTGGTGGGTTTAGTTCTCACCAGTGCATACAAAGGCGAGAGCTGACTGTAAATTAAGTCCCTAATAAGAGGACATAAACAAATGCTGACAGGAGTGTCACAGCTCAATAGTTTCACTGATGGCTTAAGGGGTACCGACAACCAGACTGAAGAATGGCCTTCTTAGTTCTCACTGCCACCGCCTATATTGCTGTGTGACGGACACTGATCTAGTTCATGGGAACAGAAGAGGCTGTAACTTTAATTTTAGCTGTGGGGTGAAGCCAACCAACCCCAGAAGCAGACTGTTATCAAATCGCTATAAGCCGTTCCATCATCATTAAAGTAGGGGAAGGAGAGGACTAGTGGGTGAATGTGTGGTGAAAAGGCAAATCCTGCACATTTTAACTTTTCACACAGTCAATGGAGTGCATTTCCATTCAAGTACAAGATGTACAAAGCCAGCAGCAATAGAGCCACTATTTATGTGGATTTATATCGAATAAGAACATATGAAATCATTACATTAAAGCACACATTAAAGTGTATCTGCATCTTGCACATCTGGACCTCTAGTCAAGATAATTTGATTAAATAGTAAAGATCTCTTTATTTACACTCACATGTCTTATAAATGATAACAATACCATGACTTCAAAAGGTTCGATAAAGATCAATTATTGAATGCAATATCATAAAAACATAACAAAATACTACTCAACAGAAATTAAGAATAAAGTTAATGATGTAGCACGGAGGTGTGTAAATGAAAATCTGAAGTTATAATTACCTTTCTTCTTTGTCCATGGCTTTCTTGTCAGTGGGACTGTTCTTCTTTGGTGGTACTGGTGGACACACCTTTCCACAAATGTCCTGGATGCTACGCTTGATTTGGCAGCTGCGCGCGGCTGCCTTGGTGAGGATACGTTCAATGGCTGTTATGCCGTCTCCGTGAGCGAGGCGGTTCGACTCGATGTCCTCTAGCCAAGATGCCGAAAGAGAGTTCTGCTTAGACGACATCTTTTGGTGGAGCTTGATGAGGAGGGACAGCATGCTTTCACGGATCTCCAGGATCTCTGTGACCAGCTGCGGGGGCGTGCCTGGCGGAACCCAGCGTGTCGAGGAGCTCTTGGGCCTGACAGCCTGCGTGGCTTCGGTGGTGCTGCGGTTGATTATCTCTTGGAATTTCCTCCTACGTTCTGCCACGAGACTGAACACCTGAGCTTCGCGAAGGTTCTAAGAAAGCATTGAAGACAAACATTTCTTTACAAAAAGATGAAATATTTGGCCAATATAGTGAGACACCATTAGATCAAGAACCATAATCCATTATTTATCAATAAAAGTACAGGAATCTAGAAGAACACACATGAATAAATATTACATATCACACGTGAAGCTCACAATAAAGAGAAACATGACACAGCTCTTCAAATTTCACAATTTTTTATGGAGCACCTAGACCATTTCCAATTATTAATATAACTAATAGTCTGGTCGACTTTGATGGATTGTAGGTCGGTGTCATTACCATATTCAGACGGGAACGTGCACGTAAAAGTCAAATAAAATGTTCATTATTTCAGCTGACATTTTATGAACACTGCAGCTGATAGGAGTCTGGTTGTCCCAGCGCTAACGAAAATTCAAATACAAGCCATCTGAAGGATTGCCCTGACCTGACCTGACATAAAAAAAAAGCACCTGAGCTGCACTGTTAAATAAACATACATCATACAGCCCAGTCAAGGGAACATCAATCATTCTGACATGCGGTTAAAAAGCGTTTACCCCAAACCTGCATTACACACGTAATTAGTTTCAGCAGTCAAGAGGGAGGGGAACTGCTGAAGCACAGCATTACACACACATACACGCACCATAACACAACAAGACAGACCTCCTTTGAAATGCATCAAAGAAACACATACAAGAGAAGTCTTTCAAAGTAGAGATAAAACAAAGGCTAATGCAGCTGATTGTTTCATTCGAGCATTAGTCTTTTCATAGAAATGAGTACAAACAGCTACCTCTCTCCAATTTCCTGAAAGACGCCTGGAGTTCTGTGGAACGAGTAAAGTAATCATGATATGAAAGTGGTGCATGAAGCAACCAGTAATGCAAGATGATAAATAAACCACATGTTTGACAGGACAGAGCTAAAAGAAGAGTTACACCCTCACTTCCAGACTAATAGATCACTAAGGCCTACAATCAGTCAAAATCTGCTGTGATTCCCATTTAAGAAGACAAAGTTTTTAGAGAATAAATCTATATAGTGGCAACAAGCCAAAACTATCCAGACCATCCAAAACCCCATCAACAAGAGAGAGACCTTCTTTAAGTGACTCTCAGCTACTTTTTTGATTTTATCTTGACAACAAACTCTTTATTCAGAGCATTTAGTTCCATGTAGGATCACCCCTAGTGGTGCGGTAAGATATATTCTGAATACAGCATCTGATGGGTAATTTTATTTATTTGTTAAACACATTTTAAAAGCAGTAATGTTTTTAGAAAAAAATCCTGCTTTCTCATTCCTTTTCCATAGTTATGATGCAAGCTGGCAGTTAGCTTAGCACAGAGGATGGAAATAGGAATGTAACTCAAATTAATTTAAAGTTAATGCAAACAAGCACGGCCTGTCACCGAGTTTCCTTTTACCTGGCCATAAGAAGAAGCTTCGGTGCTGGTGCTGGGAGGTGCCTCTCTCTTTACCTCTGGAGCGGTCTCAGGAACCCGCACCCTGACAAAGTTGATGACATGGTGCAGATTGGAGAGGAGATTGGTGCCTGGGAACCAGCTGTCGTGACAGTGCTCCTCAATGCAAGGCTCCTAAACAAAAAAAAAGGAAGAAGACGACGACGACAATGACTCAGTGAGAAACTGGTTGGCACTAGGGGCCTAGACAGTGAGGAAAGTGGTTACAAGTTAAACCAAGCAAATTATCTTACCTCATCCTCCTTGTTGTCTTGAATCTGGTTGTCCAAACCCAGTTCAATCAGGTACAGCACCATGCACAGCACGTGTTCAGACATGTTCTGATGATCCATCCAGATCTAGAACATGATCAAACCATTAGCTTACCCCAGAGAACAAATAATACAAGGTTTAGCTGTCAATGTGTTTGCTTTTTTTAAGTTATTGTGCTTATATAGATCAGCCTCTCATTACTGATACCAAGCCTTCAACTGACCATCTGTCAATGAATTTGTATTCTTAAATACATCTTGCCTGATCGATACTATGAAGATGATTATTTGGTGATGCGCCAATTTTCAGCACCAGTTGCAAACCAAGTCATACTACAAACTGCAAAGAGAGACGATGGATATGGCTGTTTTATATGGCACTGGTAGTGGGTGAAAGACTCACCTTGTAAAGTAGAGTGAATATCACAATGTGCAGCGTCTTGCAGTGCAACAGCCTTATTAGACCTTTGTAACATGGGTGCAGAGGAGTCCTCTCCTTGTATGGTGGCCAGGGGTTGCCAGTGTGAATGCCAAACTGTTTCAAACTAGTGGACATCATCATCAAAAAGGAGGCGAGAAAACAAATCAAAAAAGCAAAATCAATTTTTATACTCATTACATACAAGTAATAATGAGAGAAGTCAGAGTTAGGTTGAGAGAAATAAGAGTTTGGGGAAGTGACACCGAATGCTGTTCAGAATAAATCACAAAAGATTTCAGTCTACACAACAGAAGAGCCGAGGGGCAGCACTCTATTAGTGATGATGGGATTATTATCACACGAGCCAGGGCGAGCCTGACATGTCATCCATCATATTCAAACAGTGTGAATGAGCAACATGAGGCTGGTATCAGACTCTGAAGGTGGCACAGGCAGCTTCAATATGTCTGAGAGAGAAATATGCTCTAGTTTCATCTGTACTGGACACAAAAACTGAAGAGAAAACTGAAAGCATGTACGTGAAAGAGGCGGATGAGTGATCCATCCATGAATTACAAAGGCTCTAACCAATTGCCATTTCAAACACAGAAACAGAGCGAGCCACTTTTAGTTTAATGAGTATTTTCAGAAGCCAGAAAGAAAATTAACCCCCAAAGTATCTCCTTCACCTCCGCTGACATGTTTATCCTTGGAGACGTCTTCAGGACAATCAAAAAAAGAAAGACTTTCACAACTGCATTACAATTTAGCCTGAAATATTGAGCTCTCTCGACACCAATCTAATTGGAATCACTTCAACACCTAGCAGAGCTGACCTTTGTAATCATGTCCCTTCACCAGCAGAAAGAGTGACGACCTGATTTTTGTCATGACTGAACATGAAAACAGCAACAAAACTACTGCGGAGCAAAGGAAACATTTATACAGAGTTTAGAAGGTGACAGAAAACAGAAATGTGTGGGGAAAATCAAACTTACAATGCTGCATATCTGTCCATTGCGGACTGGACATCACGGCGATAGACTGTTCTGAGAACGACCATGATGGGGTCAAACTCTTTCTCCCACACTTCAGCTAGTGAAAAAAAAGGAAGAGAAATGCTTTGCAATCTCAGGTACAAAGTGACACTGTTTCATGGTTTCCCTGTTTTTCACCTTTCACCATCATAAGTGGTGTAAGTCTGCCCCCAAGTGGTGCCCTGAGGACATAGATCTAGTGCAAAAGATTGAGCCCCATTCTTAACTATAACAGGGAGCGGTCTAAAAAGCAATAGAATAGATTTAACATATGTTCGTTTTTAAGTGACAACATTTATTCTTTCCGTGAACTGGATAAGACAATTAGTTATTTCACAAGAATGCACCACCCATAATGTGTGTATATTACCTCATATGCTTCTTGCTGGAGAACAAAGTAAACTCCCTAGAAATCAGATATCAGCTTTGTGATTAAAGTGACTGCTGTTGGTTTGAAAAACTATTTGCTGTAAGTTCTAGGCCATAAAACAAAAATAAGACAATATTTAAAAATATGATAAAAATATATATTTTATCATAATTTCTACTCAAAGCTCAGTGACCAGCTCATTAGATCTAGTCTTAAAAAGCTCTTAAATATTACAGTCTTTTTGGGTACTGATTTAGCTCACTGGGTTGAGCAGGCAACCCATAAGCTGCAAGTCTAAAGCATAGACCCAGGTTTGACTCTGTCCTGACGCCTGTGTCTCTTCCCCCTGGTCTTTCTCCCAGCTTTCCTGTGTTATCTTGGCGATCCTATCAAATAACAGCTAAAAAAGCCTCCAAAAATATATTAAAATATTACACGCATTCTTAAAGCTAATGTTACTGTTGGCCAGTTGAGGGCAGCAGACATATCTTGATGCTGCTCAGATGATGATGCTATCACCAAGCAGAAAGCCCTCAGCGAGGACATGAACCCAGAATTGTTAAAACCCACAAACAAGCCATGAACTAAACACCAGTTATTTGCAATGCTGTTTATTTCCGTCCCACTGTGACTACAACTGTTGATGAAAATTTTGTTTAGCTGCTGGTGGAAAAACGTCAAATAGATTCTTAGGTTTCATATTTTAACTAAACTACTTCTATAACAGTATCAACGACTGCGTGTAACGTCTGCCTTTACCATACCAGACACTTCTGTAAAATCTGTAACAACACTTTTATAAACATCTGTTACTTTTTTTTAAGATCTGTTAGGAAATCCTGCCTTCTCCTTCACGAGAATATCCTACCTTTGGGTGTGTACATGCCCTGCTGCATGGATCCTCCAGGCTCAAACACAGGTGCTTTGAAGTCGGCTACAGCAGAGAGCATATCCTCAAAACTACAGCTACCGGGTACAATGCCACTCTTTGGGTTGGGATTTTCAGGAATCTACGAAAAATCTCTTAAGGAAAAATAAAACATATATAAATACATATATACTGTGGATAACTGAATACAGTTTCTCTTCAGAAAGTATTTGTTAATGACTGAAGGATACAAGGTCTAAGAGTGCGCTGTGCGTACGATCGTTCATGCACAACTGAGAGACCATTTCAGCCCGAAGGATCTCATCATCGGTCATCCCTGTCGGTGAAAATGAGAAGAAGAGTGTGAAGGCAAACTGACAGTGAGGGGATCTGACTTTCACCAGTACAGAAACTTGACAAAATAGGAGAAATGGCTGACAATATGTAATCTTAAAAATTTTAGTGCTGGCTGTCTTGGCAATAACCAAGCCAGAGGTGGTTACAAGCCACAGAGTTACAGAGTGGGGAAACAAAAGAAACTTTTTGTTTTAATAAAGGAATCAGGCAGTGCCGTTTGCTGCCCACATCATGAGTCAGCAAACCACAGCGAGTCGGTTACCTCGCTATGGTAACTGACCGGCTGAAACCCAGAGCCACTGACCACTGTCACGATTTGTAGATGCTTTTCTGATTGAGTGCAGCAGTAAATCGTAATCTCACTGACAAACATGTTACATTTCATGCCACTGGAGAAGATATGCTCACAATTTGTGTTTCAGGAGCTAAATACTTTTTTAACCTAAAGCCACTATACTGGTATTTTTTTTTTCCTGGGAGCTTACAAAGTTTATAAAAGTACAAGTGTATCACTGAAGCACAGGCTCAATCACCAGTTGGTTACATCTTTCTGAGACCGTAATGAAACAGACATTTAATTTTATGTCTTAAATAAATGAATAATTAGGAACAACTTACAGGTCTATTCTTTCAATAAATTCAAAATGATCTATGAAAAACTTCAAGATTGCCACTTTAAACACCAGTAAGAGCTCAGTTTTGAGGTTTGGCAAGATAATTATGAACTGAGGAGTTTTTTTTAAAAACAGACTGTGACCACTATCTCTTTAACATAATGCAGTTTTGTAATGCAGTGTTCTGTAATATGGATGAATAAGTCAGCAGAACATCTGAAAGCACTATCTCCCTAGGGAGAAATTGTATCACAGTTATATTTCAATATATGCAAAGAGAGGAGTGTCAATGTAGACACCTTTTGCGTCAGAGTATAATTTACAAAGTCCTTGGTTATCTCCATGAACAAATACTAGAAATAGTTCAAATGACATTTTCAGCCAAGTAAAGGACTTCATTGGAGAGTTTTACGTGAAAAAGTCACTTCTTATTGTAATACAGCAAAGAAAAACACTCCTGGGATGAGTGCCAAATACAGGAAAACTGTACCAGCAAAGAGAAACAATGGTTACATGAACTCGTGCCAACAGCGACACGACCTACCAGCTATCAACACCTCGCAGAGCCTCAGCAAATTATTTATTAGCTCTAGGGTAACTCTATATACCGTAAGGTAGTTTGTTATTCTGATAAAGATGCTGCACAGCCCTCTGCTGTACCACTCACCCAAATGAATGCGAAGGCTTGTTAGTATGACCAGAAAGGTAAGCGCTCCTTCTAGCATTGGTCTCTCTTGCTCAGAGTCCAACACGGCATTCTGATGCTGAGACGCCATGGTCAACAGGTCGACTACTTTAAACCTGCATCAGAGGACAGTTTATAAACCAGATGTTACCCATCTGCAAATGTTAAATGTTTTATGTAGCATAATATTATCAGAAATATAGCTTACCTCTCAAAAACACTTGAGATAAAGTAGTCAGGGTCTAGTCTTGATGCACAAACCTTCAATAATAAAAGAGAGAAAGCAGACTTAAAAACTAAATTGAAATTACAAAAGAAATGCATATACACACACACACACACACACACACACACACGAGTGACACTCATAGCAAGTATTGTCTGTGAAGCAGGAGTCCTCACCTGCAGCAGATAGATGTCAGGATCAATCATGGAGTTGCAGAAGTGTGACTGCACGTAAGTCATAGCCTGTCCCTTAATCTGCAGTCCATTCCTCACCCACATGTTGCTGTGGATTTCTGACAGGCACGCCTACAGTCACATAGAACAAAGTGTTAATTGAGTGAGGAGTCTCTGCAGACCAGTGTTAGACGTGGTAGGCTGGAATCACTTAACCTTCTCCTAACCTGAAGCCACGTAGTCTGCAAATACTTTTACTTGTTACAATAAGTGCATGGACACAGATGTGCATTAGACATGCAGGTAAAACCAAATCTATTGTCTTCCACTGTTATACCTGGATCTGGAGTGGATGCACCATGATCTTCATCAACATCTCTTGGTCAGGAAGGAGGCTGTCCAGATCCAGTCCTTGGCATTTTACAGCCTGGGGATTTTGAACCAAACAATCAACTTTAAAAACACATAAACACAGACACCAAAGAGAATAGACTGTGCACTAAAAGATGAGGTGGCATACCTTACTGAGGAACATGGCGTAGTAGCGGTGGAGTGGCAGGTGAAATGTCACTTGATTCGGAGCAGGCTATGACAGATACACAGACATTTATGTGAAACAGCGGAGGGAAAAGATTACTTGTAAATACGGCAGTTTGCCATTAATATACCTCGTCAATGAAGCCAATGGCATCAAACCAGATCTGCAAGGTCTCCAGACAGTATCGAACCACAGTTTTAGTGTATTCTTGTGTTTCCTGGTAACACATAAAATCAGATGTTAAAAATTTGATATAGTATTATGTAGTAAGTGATTGCAGCTTGGGGTGCTTATAACGCATGTTCCATTAATCCTGTGAGTGAGACTTACTTTGACTTTGCAGTGTGTTAAGAGACCCCACATTGGTTGTGCACAGGCCTCAAGCTCTGCTGCGAATGCTGCATAGTACGTCTGAGACTCAAATTCCACATGTTCATTCAACTCCCGCTTATTCAGATTCATACCTATGACAGCAGCAGAATGGTTATAACCTGTTATGCACAACTTCTCAATGCACATAAAAAGTTTAAAATACAAGTCTGCGTTTTTAAAATTCAACATTTCCCCTCATATTTATATGTAACATAATAAAATGTCAACAAGTATGTGAATTACAAAACTCTCTATTGAATGTGTCAGTTTGTGGCTCGCATGGATACAGGGTAATAGTGACACTGTCCTCATAGCGTCAGCAAGAGGATACTCAGGCCCACTATACAAGGGTGAGCGTTATTTTTAGGATTGTGGTAGAGTGCAGTAAAAAGCCAGCAGCACCAACCACAATTCAAATCCAGTGATAAAGAATCTATCGCACCACAACTCTGCTTTTTGCTTGAACTGTTTAAAAGGAGGGCAACAAATCTCCTTCTGAATAAGCCCAGAAGTTTAAATAAATCTGCAGGAACACGCTTTTAAATCAAGCGTTGTGTTTGACTTGACTGTGACTGAATAACAAAAACTAGATCTATTACACTGATATCCATGTGGTTTGATATCTCTGAACCCACCATACCAACAATAGATGGGATACAAGCATTGTCTGAAATTAACTTTCTGAGTCACAGATGAAAATACTCACTAGCCTCACACTGACTATAATAACAAAATCACTTTTGTGGTGTATGTACATTTGTTTGAGTACATTTCATTGGGATAACATAGCATTAATTTAACAAAGGAGGCTAGGGGAAAATTTGAAGCTTTTTTCTTTAAATCAAGAATTAATTAATACAAGCCTCAATCTAATCCAGTGATCTTAAAGTGTAAGTAAGTGTAAGAAAGTAATAGGACTTACCTTGGAAAAACGACACAAAGCTCATCCACAGCATCAACAATGAGTGGTCTTCCAGGAACTTTTTCGCTACACTTTGGTGTGAGAGGATGTTAATGAAATCACTAACTAGGGGCCAGTAGGTGTTGTTCTTCAATAGTGCTTCACTGCAGTTCACCACAACATGCCGATTGTTCTCTTCATCTAAAAAAGAAAGACAGCGAGACAGGAAACACTGACAATTGGAATCAAATCGTATTTAGGAATCTACAAGAAAATAAACATAAAGAAATACATAGACATGGGTCAATGTGTTATTTAAATCAACACCTGGCTGTTATTATAACACTGCCAACAATGATGAGTGCAGCATTAAAAAGGCGTCTACGCCAGTGCTACTGCTCAGCCTCCTAGTAGATACCTATGGTATCAATTTCAAACTCCTAGGTGACTTCCTTCTCAAGTTACCGCATTTGCAAAATTTTCAGAAAACTTGACCTCCGACCTTAACCTTGAGGTCTAGGTCACTGAGATTCAAACTTGTCTAACAACTATGGTATTGATTTTAAACTCGCCATGTTCTCACGTCATCGCACCCACAAACTTGGGTGCCCACGTCATCCACTCACCCAACAGGTAAAGATTCAAGCTCATTTTACTTGGAGCCAGCAATGAAATGAAACATCTGTGCAGGCTATACAAGCACCAAGAATGATTAAAAACATAGGGCAAAATTAGCAGCTGTTCTTTGTTCTTTAGGAAGCATTTATATTTAATTATTGCTTTAGAAAACTCAGTGGCTTCATGTAACAGATTTGCACAATTAGACATAAAAAAGGCAGCTAATGCCATCCATTATTTGTGTCATGATGGATCTTTTGACCAGGTGCATATAAAACCATTTAAATCCAAATTTCAGTTTTATTAATAAGTTCAAGACAAAAATATCAACAATGAATAACCTGGAAAATACCATTTAAAAAAAGAAAACAAAAAAAACCTTCTCATGTTTAATAATACAACCCGAGTGAGCATTTATCAAAATAGTGAGCAAACTGGCCGACTTACCCTGAAGCTCACTTTTAATAAGGCAACTCTCCATCATGTACAGGAGGACTGTGACCATGATGTCCAGCAGCTGACACTCCTCTGTGACATGTCGAGCCAGCTCCTCGTTGCTGAACAGCTGCACACTAATGTGCACGATGCGGTTGGACATCGTATCCGACTCGTGGCTTTTCATCAGCGTTTTCATGATGAAAGCGTAATGTTGGACAAATGTTTTTGTAAAGGTGATCTGCCAGAGAGAAAGACAAGAAGCCCATAACACGATTAAGGCTTGCCTTCAAAAACTCATACATACTGAGCTTTTTTAAGCCCAGTTTGATATTGAAAAGGCATGATGAAAAGGCCATGCATGAATCCCAAAGCACAGAAGGTAAGATTCTTATATTAAACACAGGAAACATAATTTCAAATATGTGCATGTAATCCCAGCTCAAGCTTTAAACAACTGAAACATTCCAATTTCAGGCTGTGTATGGTGTAACTGGGACCAGATATCCATAATACGGTTATTTCAGGCTGTGACCGCACTTCTCTGGTGTTCAAACCTTCTGTTTACGAAGGGCAACCAATCAGAAGAAAGCTGGCTTTAACGGAGGAGGAAGGAGGGGAGGAAGTTGCACCAAGGTCTAAGCTCAAAAAGGATTTTTTTTCCTGTAAATCATTCACTAGAGTAGTTTTGAAAGGACAAAAATACTGAGATGCAATAAGAATTTAATAAACCATCTATTTAAAAAAAAAAAAAAAAAAAAAGTCTGAAATGTCTTGTGCGATTTCAACAATGCGTCAGTTGTTCCACATTCAGTTGCTGTAAACTCATAAAGAAACACCACTGTTGTAAACGTGTGGGTGCAGGTCCTTGGCTTAACAATACCACTTTGGTGTCATGCAGCAGGTTGTGGTTAATGCGTTCGTCAGCAAGAAGATGATGACGATAATTCCCATCTCTAATTTGTTCTCAATGACATGCAAACAGCTTTCTGGTGCAGAACGAAGCCAAACGAAATGACACCCTTTGGAGGCCTTTGTGGACCACTTTTAGCCTGTGAGCTGTATAACTGCTCCTGGTCTGCACCATGTCATAGGAAGGAATCCTTTAACCTCCAAGGACCTGGCGTCCACATATGTGGACATCACATTTCAAGGCCCTTGTAGACCAAAATACTTAATTTTTCTGAGAGCCTGATATCCACTTACAAGGACATTATACTGCTACTGTTCTATCGAAATTTTAAACGAATATCCTCATATGTGGCTCTTATTTTTCTAAGAAACAAAAATCAGGTAAAAAAAAAAAAAAAAAAGCTGGTAATTCTTTGTTTTTACATTCATCGGGTCCCAATATGCCCAAATATCAAAGAGAAATTAAAAATGCATGCCGTGGAAGAGTTTGGGTCTTAGGAGGTTAAAATTAAGATCAGACAGGCATCTGAAAGGTGGTATGCGGCATTAATTTTTGCACATGAAAAATTGGAAAAGAAAATACCTTGTAATCTTGATCTGGCAACATGTTTAATAAGAAGGTGACCATCTTCTGAGGAAACTCGTATTTTATTGTCCAAAACAGCAACTCTTCCAGGAAGCATTTATGCTTCAGAGATTCAATAATACAAGGGTCTGAGGACAATAAAGAGACATAATGAATACACAGTTCAGCTCAGTTCAGACATTAGTGTGAATGCCTTTCTTTTCATGCACCTTTGGTACTGCTACTCAGCTTAACCCTCTTCCTCTGACCAACAGACTGTCCTCCATCTTGATCCTCCTTGGAAGAAAACACAAAACAACATAAATTTCAAGAAGTCTGCAAATTTTCATTAAGGCATCAACTGAGCATTTTTTGACTGAGCATAAATTAGAAACAACATTAATGTTGCACAGGTCAGTGATATGGCTTTACCAGTTTTATAAAAAGAGGAATTAAAAAAACGTATTACTTAAAATAACACACATTCATTATCAGGTCAGTGTCATTTTAAGCATTAGTTTAACATACCTCTTTACATTGCTCGTCTGGACTCCCTGGTCCGCTGTTTCCTAACAAAACAAATGGACTAATTACTATTTAGCAACAGTTAGAACATATGTCACCTGTTATTATAGCACCAACAAACTTATTTATGAAATGTTTGGTCTCTTATTCACTGTACGTGCATTTATTTATACATTTTTAAAAAGTACTGCATGTGTAATGTATATAAAACTTGGTAGAAAAAGAATCTAATATATGTTTATAGGAATGTGGACTCGTTTACAATACTAAAACGTATTCAAATAAAAATAATAATTAATAACAAATGGAGAGTATTATGATTTTTTTCTTTTTATCTTAAAGATGTGAAGCAGATGGATGATTATTGAAAGAAAAAAAAACAAAAAAAACATGTCATCTTACCTAACAGGACCATCGCGCCTGCACCTCCTTCAGCCCCAACACCAACATCAGCAGCAGCACTCTGGCCTTTTTCCTCCACTGATACCAGACCTGAATTCTTCAGTGCTGACAAATACTTGTCATAGTTCTTCTTAGCATACAAATTCTCCTCTTGGCCTGCAACAGTTAAGCAGTGAGCAAGAAAACCTTCTAATTTCTTTTTTTTTTTTTGGTTCACATATATCAAGTAAAATATTTTTCACAATTAGTACATTTCTGACCTAAAATTACAAAAAAAAAAAAAAAAAAAAATCAGTGGTAATGCTCTGTTAATTGAGCCCAAACCCTAAGCTGGATATTTACCCATGCTCAGCTCCTTGAATGCCTGCTGATTGGTCAAGATTTTTGTCAGCACAGTCCTCATTGCTCCTCCCATCTTTGTAAGCTCCTCAAGGAAGGAGATCTGAGGCTCCAGCTGTTGCAGGACTTTCTGTAGATCTCTCTCAGTTGAGGTGTCTGGTAAAATAAGATAAGAGATGTGAGACCCGTGAGACCCAGCACTCAGTGAAAGTAACTCTACGTGTAAATAGTTGTATAACACTTGTATAAGGCTTGCACAGCAGCTCATGTTTTCCATCTTATATAATATCATATCAGATGTAAACCACTGAAGTTAAAGCGAATGAAAGTGTCTGGTGTTGTACCTTTAATTGGTGACAACCACACATTAAAGTTACAGGTTCAGTTTACATTGGTTAATAAGTATTGTACTTCATGTGTCTGTTATGACTGTTTTCACCTGGTTCAACATATCCATCTCTCAGATACTGTATGATACACAGGATAAAGCGGGGAAGAACCATCTCAGACATCAAGAGCAGGTCTCTGGGAATTAAGGGGATATTTTCCCCAGTTCTCAACCGATGCCTTCGACAAAACCTGTCAGGGGAAAGGAAATGTTTTTTTAAAACAGTGTCACACAGAAAGGTACATTTGACCGCTCCTGCTGTTCCTTCATGTGCACTAAAAGAAGATAAAGTTGGTCAAGAAACTGTTAGCATGTTTTAATTATCAGGTAGAAATTGAGTACAATTTGCATTCAGCTTCTGAAACAGCCCAGAGGTCTGAGCAGAAGAGTTTTCCTTTTGGTTTATTTCATGAATATATTGTTGTGATATTTACTGGATTGGGCTTTGGGTAATAATGGTTGATTGAAGTGGGAACTAAAGGGTTATTCACAGCAGCCCACACACTACCACACCTCTTTCTCATACATCATTAAATATCCATACACAAATTTTATGAGCTAATGAATCAGTATGACACAAAAACATAGTCTAACATATGAATAATTTGTTATTGAAGATCATAAGACTGTAATATTTTTTTAAAAATGATCATCTGTTCATAACACTTAGAATTATGTATCTACATTCATATAATCTGTTTATAGAGATTTCATAATCTGTAAATAACGCATGTAAAGTGCATTACTGCTCAATTCCACATATTTACAACCCTGATATATACATCACATATTTATAAAGATGTAGTCCAATCTTACTCTTTACATCATCCAAAATGACATACGTTTCTATATAATTTATGCACAAGTATGTATATGTTCACATATGTATTAGTATGTGTGTGTGTGTGTGTGTCAGTATAAGTACACTTTATGTACCATTTGAGGGACAATAACTATAATTTCGTTATGCTTACTTAATAGCAGTAAAGACTCTTGCATGCTGAATCTCTATATAGGTTTTTACTCAGTTACCCAGTATTTTGCTTTCCACGTAACAAACTAAATTATCATCTCATGATAATCAGGCCAACTCTGGAAGCAGGCTAATAGTTTACTACATTATTTTATCTAAACCGCGAGTGGAAATTAAGTTTTATGATTAGGAGGAAACTGTAATCAAGAACAGAGATATGATGAGTCAGAGAGTAACAGAGACAGTCGCTGTTTAAACATTAAGAAAAAATGATGACACTTACTTAACGATCATTCAGACTTTGACAGCAGAAAGGAGACCACACCATATCTAAAGAGCCACAGACAGAGGTACACGGAAACCTGTAGCTACACCTCCCAGTATGATCGTTGGAGTTTAGCTAGCCTAGGTAACCCTTAGCCCGTGGGTTGTATTTATAAATGACAGGAGTATCGCTAGATTGAAAAATGTTGTCCGCCTGCAACAGCATCTCATAAATGTATATGGAAACTGTCATTGACAACACACATGAGAAAATGTCACTGGCTGCGCCGGTTAGCATAGCCGGGTTAGCTAGCTCGGACTTACCCACTCTCTCGCATGACATTACTGTCTCCACAGTCACAGGCCCCACCAGCCTGGCTCCGGAACATGTTGAAATCATGGCCCGTGTGGTCTCCGTTATTGAAGCACTCAGCACACAACGACATGCACGGAGAGATGCCACAGGTCCGGCATCGATATGCCACGAAATTAGCCGTCCAAACCAAGCCGCACAGAGTCGCGTTGTCATAGGAGCGCACCGTTTTGCAGAACTCATCGAAACCTTCGCCTCCTGCAATCAGACATTTACACCAGTCAAGAGCTTCTCCGTCCGCCGCTGGTTTTTCGGGATTCAGTACAGCGTCAAGAAGCTCCTGTAGTTGCCGGACTCCGGAGCTATTGTCAGTCCGGTTTAAGTCTGCCTTCAAGTGGGCGGCAGTGGCTTTCTTGTCCCGGCGTAGCAGCGACGCCGCCATCATGCACTCTGGCTTGTTGTCCACAAATTTATTTTTGTTGTCTTGTTTCCATGTTCTCGGGTTTTCTCGCGATACGGCTGATTACGTCGTTGTTGGCTAGAGAATTTCCTGAAGTAATTTCCGCTCGTTGTACTTCATGTACTGGAAATAAATCTACACAGTATTTGACCTACTTAAACCTAGTATTGGAATTTAGGGATTTCTTTTCTTTTCGTTATTTTTTTGTGGGGGTTGAGTTTTTGAATCTTTATCAGCATTCTTTTTATTTTTTGTAGACACATCTAATAGGAGAGGGGAAAAACAAAAAAAAAATCGCAAGAACTAACAAAAATCTAAGTGTGTAAAAAATATCTATCACATAAATTAGCTTTAAGCAATAAGACGTAAGGTACATATAATATAATATAATATAATATAATATAATATAATATAATATAATATAATATAATATAATTTAATATAATATAATATAATATATTGTTATGTTATGTTAATATATGTTCAATTTTGATACGACATGAGAAGGTAAGGAGTGGTAGAAAACTTTGCAAGGGTGGTGCAGGACATGTATGATGACAGTGAGATGGTGAGAACTGCCCCTGCTTGTTTCCAGTGGTCGGGACTCTTCATGGACCATGACGTTTGCAGAATACATCGTGATCTATAGTGAGAGTATTGAGCAGGTGGAAGAGAGGGTGGAGAGGTGGAGGCCTGCTCTAGAGAGAAGATGAATAAAAGAAGTAGAAGCAAGACAGAACACGTGTGAATGAGAGGGACATAGGTGTAAGAATGAAGCTCCAAGGACTGGAGGTACTGAAGACAGAAGGGTTTAAATACTTAGGGTCAACCATCCAAAACAATGGACAGTGCACAAGAGAAGTGAAGGAGAGCGAGCTAGAGTTGTCAGAGCTGAGGTTTTCACTGTGACCGGAATAGCAAAATAGAGAGATGGTTTGGACATGTGTAGAGAAGGGATAATGGATAAAAGATGAAGACCGCAGAGAGGATTCAAAGAGTGGATTCATGTAGTAAAGGAGAACATTCAGATGGTTGGGGTGACAGAACAGGATACTGGAGGTAGAAGGAGATAGAGGCAGATTATCTTTTGTGTAATCAAAAGAAGATACTACTACTACTACTAATAATAATAAAATACTACATGTGCAGATAACAAAAAGCACATAGAGTAACTGTCCGCACAGAGCAATCTGCGTGTCTATGTAGCAAAAAATATGTATTTTTTTTTTTAAACATTGTAAATTTTTGATAACAAAGGGAAATGACAGATTATTATAAAAGTGTGGATATTAAACTAATTTTATTTTTTTTTGTAAAACGGTTTAACAATATTGTCATCATTAATTTAATCACTAATATTATTATTAGTGTCATAAACACCATTCGCGGGTAGGAACATGTGCGCTACCACGGTTTATCGTCGGATTGTTTTGGTTGACGTGCACAGCTGCTTACCCCGTGGAACTTCTTAGCTTCAGTAGAAATCATGGCTCAAATTATCCTCTCAATGTGATTTAAACTAAAGAAGGAAATTTAAATTAACCCACTGTTGCACGCAAAGTTGGGACATCTTAAGCGATGAAACTGAAGGAATTAGAAAGCTGTCTGCAGCAGGTGGACACATTTGAAGAGCCAAAAATCCTTCTTGAGCAGTATCCAACCAGTGCTCACATTGCAGGTATGACGGTAACAGTGACGATCAGTTGAGCGTGTAACAGCACATATTTTGTATTCATCATCCCCCCCCCCCCAGCATGTATGCTCTACACAATCCAGAGTACGTTTGATGACATTGAGGGTAAACTCGTAGCAGACCTGGGATGTGGCTGTGGAGTCCTCAGCATCGGAGCTGCGATGCTTGACGCAGGGTGAGAGCATTGTTTATAAGTTTAACATAGCCGTGGCTTACTGTAGTCTATTCTCTGCGCTGTATCTATCTTTTTTTCTCCTTTCTGCAGTTTGTGCGTCGGCTTCGATATTGACGATGACGCTCTGGACATATTCAGAAGAAACGCAGAGGAGTTTGAGATTTCTAACGTGGATTTGATCCAGTGTGACATGTGTCGTCTGGAGCCAGAGGCGTACGCTGAAAAGTTTGACACTGTCATAATGAATCCACCATTTGGGACAAAACACAACCAAGGTGAGCGCATGCCTTAAATTTGAACGGTTTCTTTCTTTACTAATTTTGAAAATTCTCTTATAACTGAAGCACTAGAGACTTAAGCCTCCCAGCCTAACAAAATGCAAAATGACTCAAAGAAATAATGTGTTTATGTTATGGTAGTAAGGATTAGCGGCAACTTGTCGTTTGCACACAGTTCTTTACTGTTGCAATTATATGTGCACACTACTCTCTTCACGTGTCCAGCTGTGGAGCGCTGACTGTTTAAAACCTCACTACTGCGTGTGTGTCCACAAGTAGCTGATCAGTCCATGAAGTTTAGAATGAACCAACTAGCCCCAAAACATGCTTCTTTATTTCTTTTAAACCATTTTGGGCCACAGACAGGCAGTGACGACAGTTTTGTCCACCTGAGCGTCCACTCACCAGCTGCCTAATTTGTCACATCTGTTTGGGCAGGCTGTGCATTTGTAGTCACAGGAGCATCCCTTTAACCCTTCATACAGCCCGTTACTTATTGTTCTGTTTTGTTTAAGGTATGGACATGAAGTTCCTCCGAGCTGCTTTAACCATGGCAAAGACAGCCGTTTACTCACTTCATAAAACGTCAACACGAGAAGTAAGTTCACCAGCCCCTGACAGTCTCTCAGGTCTCTGAAAGCTGATCTTTTACATCTTACTTAGCAGTTAATTTATCAATTTGACCATTAAATATGAAGCCAAAACTCACATCTCTATCTACAGTATGAATGTTGTGATGCCTAATCTGTTTTTTATGATCCCATTGCAGCACATACAAAAGAAGGCAAATGACTGGGGAGTAAAGATGGAAGTCATAGCAGGTAAGAAAAATAAGGCCAATCTTTTTTTTTTCTCTTCTATTATTAAAATATTCAAATATTCACTAAATACTTTTATTAAAGAACTGCGATATGACCTGCCAGCATCTTACAAGTTCCACAAAAAGAAATCGGTAAGATTACATCAGACAGTACATGTTCTCCAGCTAAATGTGACACAGGACAGATTTCCCCCATTTTTTGGTAAATGATTTATTTGCAGTCCACATATGCAAACAACAAATTAGCAAAGAAGATATTTTCAATCAGTCAATGTAGGAAAACTAACTCCACACACATTCTAGATGTCACACAGGTCTTGTAAAATAAACTAAAATCTCCTGGTGAAATTAAATTATAGTGAAAAGGTTTACGGTGAATGCAATGCAAAACATCTTCAAAAGAGAAAGATGGGTACACAAATAATATAAGAGGCACAGTATTCGGGGACATAAAAGGCTGCAAAATGATGCTTTGAACATATTTCTCCAGGTTGACATCCAGGTGGACTTCCTACGATTTTCCAACGCTTGAAGCTTTCACTGGAATGGACTCAAGTTGTCTCTGTATTTTCCATTTTCACTGTTTGTAATAAACGTTTTCATTAAAGAAAAACTGATTTTAAGTCATAACTAAGATCCATTTTCAGTTTTGATAACTTTTGCTGCAGGACCATAATCGGGATCTTCCCGTTCTCTCTTTATAGGTGCAGCTGTTAAAGGGAAAAAACACAAACAAAAAAGAAAATACAAATTAGATAAGAAATAATCTTAACACAGACTACAACAATATGTTCCCAAGACTACATTTTGAAGCAGAATATTGAAGTGCAATATTTTAGCAGAAGGCGATGGAGCTTTTGAAGGGCAGGTGTGATGTGACTGAGTTCTGGTGATGATGCAAGCAGCAGAAGTCTGTAACAATTGACGTTTATGAACAAGTTGAGAGAAAGACCAAAAAGAGCTACAGTAGGTGGGTCCTAACCGAGGTGTGACCAAGGATGGCAGTACAGTCAGGTAAAAAGAGATGGATGGAGGCGAGTGTGCTTGAAAAGAAAACCTATTATTAAGCATGACACCCAGAGTCTGGACCAGAAGGAAAGGAGAAACTGTTACATTTAGACAGTGGATTTGGTGCCAATGAGGAGAACCTCTATTTTATCAATTTAATTTGAGAAAATTGCAAGGATTTGATTTTCTGGAGGTAAACACAGAGGACAGTGGGTGGGATGACAGCAGTAGGTTTAGTAGACCGGTAGAGTTGAATGTCATCAACATAACAACGGAAACTGATATTAAGTTTATAGAAAATAAGGATCCTTGGCCCCCAACATTTGGCCAGTGGATCAGAGACGTGGTGAGCCACATTCATCTAGAGAAGATTAAGTTCACCATCAGAGGGTGTGCTGGAAAATTCTATGCTTCCTGGCAACCATTCATTATTTATGTTGAGAATATGTAAGCCTGCGAAATGGATTCATGATTATTTTATGTTGACTCTATATAGTGGCCCATTGTCTTACACATCTATAGTTTAGTGTATATCGTGAGTATATATCACTACTTTGTTTTCTGTTTTTCACGTGAGATCTGCTATCAAAGGGAGGGAAAGGGTGGCAGCAATGTTGTGTCTTCATCTGCATGAGTTTAACTGTTAGAAAAATGACAAATGGGAAACAGATGACAAATAAAAGAGGGCCCAGGATAGATCCCTGGGGGACTCCATTAGGAACTGAAAATGAATAGGATATGAAATTTTTGAGTTGAATGAACTAAAAGCGCTAAATGATTTTGAACTTACCCTCCTCATGGTGATCATCGCTTTCAAACTTCATCTTTTTTCCTTGGTACTGAGTTCTGCCTTGATCTCTGCCACCTCTTCCCCGTCGGCCTCTTCTTCCTCTTCCACCTTTTACGACAGACAAGACTACCTTACTAAATCATATAGATGACACTGTGGAACTGTATCTTTATTGACATTAACTGATTACATTCCAATGCAGTCAACAATGTTAAACAACATGGAAATGCATCTCACCTCTGCCTCTGCACCTGCTGAATGATCCTTGTTGAGCTTCTA